GTTTATATTCTTGTTTTGCAATTGCCGAGCCTGAATGAGAAGTTCAATTTTGAAAACTAAAATGGTGAATTTTCTAGCCGTATGAGAGCACAAGGAAGTTTCTCTGAGTCCCGTTTAGTATTTCTGGGGGTGGGGGATATTATAGTGTTGGGGAATAGGTTTTAATTACCAGTAGAAATGCGATTCTGTATTTAGAGTCACTGAGGTAGTTTGTGGGAGGTTTTTTACTGTCACCAAAATTAATGATGTCAACTCCTTCACAAATATAGAGTAGTGGGTCAAAGTACTAAATTCTAACAGTTGAGATTTTATCATTGTTATCTTGTGTTTATACTGGTTTTATGTACTCAATGGTAAGATTTAATACACTTTGATACATTTTTGTGGAGCACAGTACAAACATGAAGTATTTAGCTTTATGGCCCTGCATATGATTTGAAGAACTGTTTAGAAAATCCAGACTGATGTTAAAGTTATCTTTGTTTAAAGCCATTCACTTGGAAAAAGATTTACACTTTGGGGATTAAATTCAAATGAAGATATTTAGTATTGCTGTCATAATTTGTAACTAGTTTATTGTAAATGTTTACAGATCCATTTGGAACATTGGACCCTTTTGGAAGTAGTGCCTTTGGGAGTGGAGGTTTTGCAGACTTCACCCAGATGTCCAAGGTAATTTATGGCTTAAATCTCAGTATAAGAACTTACCGATTAAAGTCATTTGCACTTGAAGCAGTTGACCATTCCTCATGTTCTCCACGGATAGTCAGGATGACTTTCACCTTTTAGAGTGCGGTAGTGATAACGTGGGTATGTTGCAATGGTTTGTCCCTCTTGTTTGCCTTTTGTTTTGAGTGAATCATCAATGATAGTTAATGTAAAGTCAGCATCTAAATAGGGAAATGACAGGCCAAAGGCCTTGACTGAAGGTCTATTTCCAGACATGAAACCAGAAGGGCAGCAACACTTTAATGCGAAACAAAGAGAAGGGGAGTATAACAGGTAATAAAATAGTTGAGGTCTGACAGTCTGTGAGTAGGCTTTTTAACAAAAGGTAGAAAGCTGCTGAGATGAAATGCAAACATCAGGAAGGTGAAGAGGCCAGAAAACCCCTCCAAGTTTACTGACAATTAAATTAAAGTTGGATGGGGGAGATATGCAGAAAAATCTAGAAAAGAGCTGAAGTCTGAAGTTTCTGTAGTCATGCTTAAGAATAAATAGCTGCAAAATACTGAGGTGATTTATGAGAGACAATTCCTGGTGTTTGGGTTATATTGAATAATATAGGCAATCCTGAAAGAAAGGCTGGAATTTAAGTGATGGGATGTTAAAGTGATGGAACACACAGCAGGATTAGCCTTGAGAAACAGAATGTCAAAGTTCAACAGCAATCAGCCAATCTGCTACTAGATCTCCCAATATGGAAAAGGTGAACTATGGGAATGAATATAAGTTGGAAGGTGTGCATGCAACACTGTTTCGTGTAGAGTTTTGTGAGCTTTGGGAAATGGTGCAGAAACCATCAATTTGGTGTGTTTGCTGAATTTGTACAGAATGTGCTGAGGAAGAACAGGAAGGAAGAGTGATTGAGGAATAAACAAGGGCGCCATGGTAGAAAGGGCCCCCAGAAAGAAGAAGATGTAGTTAGTAGTAGGATCATGGTAGTTCAAGAATGTAACCCAGCAAATAGCCGGTTTAATAGGATAAAAGTTGAGGGCAAGAAGGAACCATATTGTCTTGAAAGGAGGAGCCCATAATGATGGTGTTAGAAAATAAGAAGGTGGAATAGGTATTTAGTGTCCGGATATGGTGAATGGGTTGGAGGGATGGAGAATGCAATGAAGGAGAGACATTGAGGGGTGTAGAATGGGGGTGAAAGAGAAACAATGAGAGCGTGGAGAACTGCATGCAGGGGAGACAGGGAGCAGTGGAGAATGGGGTGAAGGAGTGGCATGGAGGGGTGGAAAATGGGGGCAGGCTTGGAGGGGTGGAGAATAGGGTGAAGGAGAGGCGAGGAGGGGTGAGAATGGGGTGAAGGAGAGGCGGAGAAAATGGATGGAGGAGAGGCAGCGAGTGAAAAATGGGTGTGAATAAGGGGCAGAAGTATAAAAAATGATATTACAGCAGCTTGTACTGAAAGTTGAGTCCTGGGAGGGAATATTGTGGAGTCAGAGAAAGGAATGGAATTATAAAATCAGAAACAAGAAGCAAAGGAAGACATTGTGGATTTTTTTTTTGCATAAAGAGTTGTTAGATCATGAATTGCCTGACCGCAAATAGTGGTGAAAGCAGAATCCACAATAGCTTTAAAAAGGGAAGTCAAGAAAAATTTGAAAAAAATGAAATGAGAGATGTGGCAAAATGGGCAGTACTTTAGGATGGCCACAACAGGCTTAAATGGCCTCCTTGTAGGCTACAAAGACTCTCATTCATATTTTCCAATTGTTAATTTGGAAGTATGTTTGATTCCGATGCACTTGCTTAAATATAAAAATTTAAAGCTGATTTCAAATTTTAAAAATATTTTTTGTTTTGAACTTTCTTTGTCATAAGTTAGCAATAAGTCACCACCTGTCGCCACTTGCGTAAGCACCTTCTTTTATAACTACTGTTATAAGAGCATGGTAGATCTTTAGTCCCTCAAACCTATTCCACTGGTTAATGAAATTGAGACTGATCTGCAATTTAACTCCATCTTTGCACTGTTCCCTGTAATATGTTTTCGGTTAAGAAAAATCTGTCAATCTAAGATTCGTGTCAAATTAATTGTTAGTAAAAATTAACATTTCATCTCATATCAGTATTCATTGTTTATAGAGGAGACTTCCAAAGCTTTGCCATCACTCGATGTAGAAATGTTTCCTAATTTTTCTCCTGAATCCAGTCTTCAGATCAGGGGAGCTGAATTGGCTCACCCCTTTTCAAGCTCCTCAGTTGATGGTTAAAATATTTTATCATTCTTTTAGTTTGAGGCTCTACCTCTTGTGACTAAAGATGTAGTCAACCAATGCATGGTGGATGAAGGAGTCAAGTGCAAGGTTTTCTTATATAAAGGAAAGAGCGAATTTATTATCTGCTAACTTTAAAGTAATAAGGACATACATACAGAGGTACAAAGCATACATACAAAGGTACAAAGTTAAAAAGGGATAGATTCCCATATAAAAGGAAGATTTAAGGAATGTACAGTTTGACATCCTCTGGGTATCCTAAACAAATAAACATATTAACCTGAAGTTTAGTTGATGACTTGGGTGACACTGCGGCTCAATGGTTAGCACTGCTGCCTCACAGCACCAGGGAACCGGGTTCGATTCCACCCTTGGGCAATTGTCTGTGTAGAGTTTGCACATTCTCCCCATGTCTGCATAGATTTCCTCCAGGTGCTCTGGTTTCCCTCTATAGTCCAAAAATGTGCACGTTAGGTGGATTGGCAATGCTAAATTGCCCATAGTGTCTAGGGATGTGCAGGCGAGGTGGACTATCGATGGGAAATGCGAGGGTAGAGGGGTGGGACCAGGCGGGATGCTCTTCGGAGGGTCAGTGTAGACTCGATGGGCCGAATGACCTGCTTCCACATGATAGTAATTCAATGATTGTGCCCTTAGCAATAGCAAATATTGAAGATTTCTTTAAGTTCTCGATATGCAGTGTTTCACTCCACTGTGTTGTCTGCCAGCTGCTTTGTCCTTCAAGAATCAGCGAGAAAAGAGCTTTCTTTGCTTCTGCAGTCACAGAATCTTACTCTGATAAAATCAGCTTCCAGAAATACAAGCTAGTTTGTGCATCTCAATGTCTAAGTTAATTGTCTCAGAGCTGAATAGTTGTAGATGTCTTTCATCTCTGATATGTGGGACTTACTGACGTAAATCAAAATAGGAAATGATTTTTTTCACACCTGACTGGTTAGACTGGTTTCAATGTATTTTGATAAAAATAATAATTTCAGTCAGATCGTTTTGTTTATTGCTAAATTGTGGGGGCCTGCTGATTACATTGGCTATTTTAAATCAGTGGTTTATTCCTTCTAAAGCCATTTCAGTCCATGAAAGTTCCAGGTATTAAAAGAAGGTGATGGAATTTGCAGATTTATTGTCAATATTTTGTCATTATCATGACATTTGTCTCAATACCTTATCTATTGTCCTTAATATCTTGGACACTTAAAACAAATGCCTCAACTTGAAAATTTCAGGGAATATACCCTTTTTGTATAATCCCTCTTTTTAATTTAATCCTTGGAGTTCAGATAAATCTGCAGTGCAGTCTCTCCAAAGCCAATATATCCAACGAGACATAGTATACAGAACTGCTCAAAGTACTGCAGATATGGTCTAACGAGGATTTGTATTGCTTGTCATATCGTCTACCTCTTTTATGCTTGTGTTCTAGCTGTAAAGGCTGTATTCTACTAATGTTTTCATTATTCAGGACATTTTAATGACTTGTTCGTGTGGGCTCCCACGTCTTTTGGGACATCACTGTTTCTAGCTTTTTACCATTTAGAAAGTACTCTGACCTGTTCTGTTTTGGTCCAAAGTACATGGCCTCACTTTAGTCAACATGGAAGTCAATTTCTGCAGTTTTAATCACTTACACATTTTATCATTATTTCATTATAATTTTATGCTTCCATGTAGCACCTTTTACAACCATGTAACATCCCAAAGTGCTTTACAGTCAATGAAATATATTTGAAGTGTATTCATAGTTGCAATACAACAACTCTCTGGACCAGAAAATTTTCTTCCCAGGGTTCCATAAAGGAAGTAAGTGATTGCATTGCAGATGTTTGCCAGGCTCTGTGCTGTGTTTTGCTTTTTCTTTTATTATTATGTTGTCTTTTACTTTTTTAATCAACCATGGCTTTCTGTTTTGAATACCTTCCATTGATCATCTGTTGTTTTACCATTAATATATTTGGTTATCCCTGTGAATGTCTCTGTCCCATCGTGTTGAAATAGCATTACCTAAATGCAGAATCTTAATTGGCATTCCATCTTTTCACATTCAATGTTGAATGCTACAAGGTAAATGTTTATATGTCATTAGGTTGTGAACTAAGCTAGTTCATGACTAAATCTGGACGGCTTGCCTGCTGTTGGGTCTGGTATATGTTGCTACAGAATCCTGCCTTATGTCAGAACCTTTGTATAAAGAACACTTTTTTCAATCATGCACTCAAACATGTCTTTCAGTTGTAAAGTTTCACTTGCATATCACTCATGTAGTTCTTCTAGTTTAATTTTCTGGGATTACTTTTCCATTTTAGTTTTTCCTTTGAGCTATAGTGCTTAAAATGTAATTTCTGACTGTCACTATACTGTCTACCCTTTTCTTTGTTTTTGAACCGTTTATACCACCACTTACACATGTGCCTTCACCTTTTTCTTAGCACCCATTCACTATTTTAAAGCCTTTATGACCACTCTATTTATCCTTAAGCTTCTCGTCTCAACACCGTTCAGAGGAACTCCTCCCGGTGATGCAGTTCCTTAATGTTATTGTTCTAGTGTCAACATCTTCTGAGATGGGAACTCTTTCCCATCTTGCCTCTACAGCCATATGTTCACCTCCCTAGTATGCCAATTTGCATGTGGCTTGGATAATAATCCAGAGCTAGTAATCTTTGAGTCCTGTTATTTCTTCACTTTCTTACAAGGCCTCAACAT